TATGGCAGATTATGCACGAGTACGGATTTCCGGATAAACTGACGCAATTGGATCGAGTGATGTGCGTTGTTCGAGCATCGGGGACTTTTTGAATCTCGAAGGGGGTTACGGCAAGGTATTGGACTTTCGTGTCTGCTATTCAACATCGCGTTAGAAGGTGTGATCAAAAGAACTGGGATAGACATGAGTGGCACGATATTCAGGAAGTCCATCCAGCTTCTTGGCTTCGCCGATGACATCGACATAAATGCACAGAACTTTGAGACGATAGCGGAAACGTACATCAGACTGAAGGCTGAAGCTAGGCGGATTGGACTTGCCATCAACGCATCGAAGACAAAATACATGAGAGGAAGAGGTTCTAGAGAAGACAATGTTAGCCTCCCACCCCGAGTTCAGATTGACGGTGATGATGAGTTCGTGTATTTGAGCTCACTGGTGACCGCCGAAAATGATACCAGCAGAGAAATTCAAATACGCATTATGGCAGGGAATCGTGTCTACTTTGAAATCGGGATGACGCTCCGGTCGAATAAAATTCGCAGCCGCACGAAAATGACTATCTACAAGACGCTGATTAGACCGGTGATACTCTACGGCCTCGAGACTATGCTCGTGGAGGTTTCGAACGGAAGGTGTTGTGTGCCATTTACGGTGGAGCGCAGATGGATGACGGAACGTGGCGGCGGCGAATGAAGCACGAATTACACCAGCTGCTGGGAGAATGCCGCAAGACGACCCAGTGAAAATGGTTCTCGAAAGCGACCCAACAGGAACAAGAAGAAGAGGCGCGCAGCGGGCAAGGTGGATCGACCAAGCAGAAGGCGACCTGCGGACCCTTCGCAGACTACGAGGCTGGCGAAGTGTGGCCACGGATCGAGTAGAGTGGAGACGACTTCTTCGGACAGCAGAGGACAACAAGACCTTAGTCTGATTGGGAAATCTGCTCAAGAATTCCTCAAAATATGCTTCAGAATTCTCATGGAATTCCACTTTCAGTTTTTAAAATTTATATAGAAATTGCATTCGAATACTCCATGGAGTTCATGTCTGGCTCTCCAAAGAATTCCAATAGAAATCTCACCAGAATACCTTTGTAATATACCTTAGATTTTATTTGGAATTATCTTCCATCGAATTTTCCTCATAATTCTTCTGAAATTATAGCCAGAACTCCTTTGGAATTCTTTTAAAATTCACCTTCAACCCTCTTCAAAATTTCTAGTCAATATTCTTTGGTATTCATTAAGTTTTCTCCTCTTCTCTGGTAGAATATGCCTCGATCTCCCGTTAAATTTATCCGCAGAAATCCCTTATAACTATTAATTATACTTAATTAACATTTAGAATTTTCTTCTCACTGAGCATCAGGAATCAAAAGGTCCTCAGAATTACCTTGGAAGCATTTCACAGATTTTACTTGAAGTTCTCCTGAAAATTAAAATGGGATACCAGTCAGAACCCTCTTAGAATACACCTTAGAATTCCCTTTAAGTTCGGCTAAAATTCTGCAGCAATTATCAAGGTAATGCCACGAAATTCATGAATATTTTCTTCGAGCCCATGAACCTTGAAAATTTTCTAAGATCCATTACATTGATATTTGTTTTCAAATGTGGGATCATGGAAAACATTTCAAGATCCGAAATACAGGGCTGGTAGCGCTGATGCGATATAATAGTAGTGACTTTAGTGACTAAAATTATGGAAATAGTGACCAAATAGTGACTTGTAAATACTAAATAAGTAACCATTTATATGGTAACATAGAAATTCAAATACGGTTTGATATTGAAATAAACTTTTTATGTCATGGAACTCAATATCAAATTTCATAAATTCCTCTAATTTAATCGAATCTCACAACGGAAACTTCTGTGAAGAGCATTTGAAGTGATTTGAATAATTTACTTTTGCTTAAGTTACACATGATGACTAGCAAATAGTAATTCCTATTTTTATGATCTTGAATTTGAACCTGCGTTCGAAATCTCCAAATATTTGATATATCTAGGTAGATAACTTTGATAATTTACTAATAATTGAATATTACTATCTCAAGAACTTTTTTAGAATAATTCCCCTTCCCTTCAACTTAGAGGCAAATAAGCTTTTACAAACATAATATTGCATTCTTGAAATTCTTTGCAGAACAATCAACAAAATTTCTTTGAAAAAGATCATTTTCGTAGTTGGAAACGCTTAACATCAAATATCAGAACTAAAGTGGACATTTTATACGACAGATGAGGAGATGAAAGTAAAGAGTTGATAGTTCCGTTATAGTGTGGCAGTGTAGAATTTGCATATAGAAAGTAGAAAGCGAACAAAGGATAATTTTGAGGAAGGTACGAATAGGGTAGAGCATCTCCTTTACCAAGCTCATCCGTTAATGAGGGATGGTGAGGGGTGTTTCCCCCTGCCACCACTGGCAAAAGGGATGATCACCGATTTGCTCATGTACACGGCGAATGAGAACGACTCAAATTTGAGTTTACTTCACTCATAAACGCCAAAAGTGCAGGAACTCAGCGATGAGTTAATTTGCCTCATGTTTTCCCAGGTTTTTTCCAGGATTTTCCAGGGAAAAATTCCCGATTTTGAGAAAAGTAAAGATTGGATTCACTCAGTCTATTGTTACTACTCCGAGACTGAATAAAATTTTCGTCAATTTCCTCATTTTCCGGCAGATTTTTTAGGTTTTCCACAGGAAACCATAAGACAAATTTTACTCATCGCTGAGTTCCTGCACTTTTGGCGATTATGAGTGAACTAAACTCAAATTTGAGTCGTTCTCATTCGCCGTGTACCTCTGATGTGCGGAAACAGTTCTATTAATTGTTTCACACTCAAGTCGCCATCTGACGTAAACAACTACCCGTTTCGTACCTTCCTCAAAATTGTCCTTTGCTCGCTTTCTACTTTGATAAACAATTTTCACACTGCCGTACTTTAACAGAAGTATCAACTCTATAATTGAATCTCCTCCTCGGTCGTATAAAATCTCTTCTTTAAGTCTGATATTTGACGTTTAGCATCTCCGACTATGTAAATCGTTAAATTTACGCAAGAAGTAATAACACATGATTAGTTAAAGTAGATTATTTTTTATTTTTTTATTGATTATTTTAGAAATTCCCTGAAGGCTCCTTCCATAAATCCATCCTTAGAATTTCCATGCAATTAACCTCAGAAGTTTCATAAATTTCTGCTTAGAATAATCTTGGACTTCTCCCTTGCATTCAATTGGAAATTCAATTCGTATTCTCCTTAGAATCCCCATAGTATTTCCTCAGAATTCTCAAAACAAAAATCCATCACAAACTTTAAAACTCTTCTCAGAATTCCTTTGAGATTGAATCCTCAAAATTCGATTCCATTTGAATTCTTCTCGGAATTTATTTCAAACTCTTTAGAATTCTCTTCAAAGTATCGTCCGTAATCACCCCAGAATTCTTTTAGAACTATCCGCAGAGACCATCTTTGTAGTTAACGGGATTTTCATGGAATTTTCATCAGAGCTCCCTTAAGCAAAATTTCAGAACTAACTTTGAATTATTATTAGAATTGGACCTAGAATCCTCATTCAATCATCATAGAATTCTTCTCAGAACTCTCGTTAAAATGCAGTCTCAATTACATTAGAATTATTTCCAAAATTGTTTCGGAGCTGAATTTTGCGTCTCTAATAATTTAAACAATTATCAAAAGCGACGCTCGTATGTGTTAAGCCAAGTTTAACTATATAGAGAATTTTACAGAACACTTAATTTTACATGAGACTTTCGTAGTCTGTACTTTGGTATTCTTCTCTGATATATCTTGGTGTCTGCCCTAGAATCCTTCAAAATTCTCTTTTAAATCGAAATTGAAGGCATTTCCAAATAGTTTTCCTGGTGTTCTAACGTTTTGCGGTTCACTGGTCACCCTGGTTAAAATTTTCAATTTTTTAACAGATCTGTATATTTTGTTAAAACTACTGCAGACTTTCTTTTTGCCTAGTACTCAATTTAAACATTTTGTGAAAAAGTGACTTTTTAGTGACTGGCTTCAAAATAGTGACAAAGTCAATAAAAAGTGACCTGTTACCAGCCCTGGAAATATGAATCTTCGTTCCAGAATATTGAAAATTTCTTCAAGCTATGATTATTATTTTTTTCAAGGCCCAGCAGCGAAAGACATTTTTCCATAAGAGATATATGTAGAAATTTATTTCTTTTCGATTAAATATATGTCCGGAATTCAGCTACAGGAATTAAAATTTTTCTTCAGTTCAGTTTTTCAGAATCTGAGCAATCTGACCTATGATTTTGAAATTTGCATTAAATCTCACAGTCTTGAAGATTCTTCAATCAATCAAATCTTAAAAATTTGTCTCTTATCTCAATTAACTGAATTTCGAAATGTCTAAAACAATTTCAAACTTTATTCCTTCTGATGGAAAAGTTCATGTTTATGGCATTTATTTATCCCAGAAGCGTTAACCGATTTCGAAACATTTGGAGATCGCGCACATAAACAAATACAAATCTAGTAGGGTCCTAAAATTATAATTGTTGTTGTTCAAATGATTCAAGAAGAAATAAAAAAATTGAAAATATATTAAGTTACTGGGATAGCATTCTCCCTCTTTTCGGATTTTAAGATTAAGGATTATGACATAAATTTAAATATATATATATATTGAAACCCCCCCCCCCCCAACACCACCGTACACCGCCCTTTCTCCAACTAGAACAGAAGCGGTTAGGACATGTGAAGACGTTTGTTCGATCTCATTGAAGACTTTTCTCAAATCAGGTATCCCAGATGATATTTTCAATTAAATTTTGTGTAACGTAGGTATTAACTATCGTTATTTCAAAACAAGAGACAAGTTCTGATTGCTATTTTTTAAAAAGAAAAATCCCAATAAACGTAACTAAGTAGTTAGCTAACTAACAACATCGAAAAAAAAAAATCATAGAGAAATAAAAATTATAAATAATGAACAACAGCAATTAACAACTGACGCAATAAACGAATTTATTTTCAAGCTACTTAATCCACAATATCCCATTCATTACCCATACGGCGTGCGGAGGAAAAAAAAACTCCCAAATGTAAAGTAACGTAACGCTCGATATGTGACACCCTCTCTTCAATTTTACTTTCAATATACAAAAATAACAAACAAGTAGGTATCCCACACGCCGTACTCGTCAGCTCAGAGCAAACTCAGCAAAGTCGGCAAATCAGCTCAACATCTGTGACTAAACAATTGCACCCCACACCCTCCACCTTCTAACCCCCACGCACTGACCCAGGCTGCTGGCACCCAAACGCGCGTGTGTAGGTAGAAAGTTTGCAGTGACGGCGGTGGCAGCGGAAAAATTCCTATGCTTCGTTTTTCTTCGCTCTGGCTCCGAAAATAGAACTGCCTACGCGTACGATTGTGCTGCCCATCTCGATCTGCAAAATATGTAATGTAGAATTGTGTGAATGCAAACAAAAACGGATCTCAACCGAATCGCAGATCGAAACAAACTTACCGCTTGGACAAAGTCGTCCGACATTCCCATCGACACCTGGAGATCGTCCGGTTCCCGCTCGAAGGTGCTGCAGATGTCCTGGTGACACTTCATCAGCTCGATGAAGTCCGGATTGGGACCGGTTGAGTAATCATGACCGAAGCGACCGATCGTCATCACGCCGTGGCAGTTCAAGTTGGGGCATTTTTCCGTAACGAAGCGGTACAGGTTCACGGCTTCGGCCGGTTCCGTTCCATTTTTATCTGTGGGTGATGTGGGGATTCAATTGAGGAGGTAATTGCTTGGTTTTGGGTTCTCATTTACCATCTTCTCCACTGGTGTTGATCTGAATCAGGACGTTCAGTTGCTGCTTTTCCGGTTTCTCCGCTTTCACCTTTTCCCAAGCCTTGTTCAAACTCTCCGCTAGTTTTGCATTGTGAACGGTTTCAACCATATGCAGGTTTGGAAGATTTACAATCTGCGAATGGGTACAAACTTAAAGATAATCGGGTTGTTTTCGTGGAAATATGCTTCACACAGACTCACCTTATTGATCTTGTTACTCTGCAGGTGACCGATGAAATGCCACCGGATGTCTTTGCACTGTTCCAAGATTGTCGGATCGTTTGCCTTCTCGATCAATTCTTGGACGTAGTTCTCGCCAAAGTGCCGCTGTCCGATGGAGTAGCCATCGAGAATCAGATCAATTGGTTTGGTTTTGCTCACAGCAACCAGCAGCGGTTTGGGGGCTTTGATGGTCTGAAAGATAGGTATAAGGGGGAAAGTTTGGGATGCATTAATCGTCAATCTGAATTGTCCGGTAAATTACTATTTTTTCTTTGGCTATTTAGGGGAAATGGCTACAATGTTGGCCTATGGACCTAAGATTGAACCCATAGCTAAAAATCTGCTATTTTTATCAATTTTATCTAGATGAACGCGTTGTTGGGACGGTACTAATGGATATTTTTGGTCGCTATTGAAAATATAGTCGAATACTGAATTTATGTATGGGCCTAAATTAGGGACATTTAGGTCGACATTACTTCCATTACCCCTATGTCCCAAATAAATCTTTGCGTCTGCCCTCAACTGACGTTTTCTTTCAAGTTTTCTTTGAGCACTTCTATGGCAGGTAAGTACAGATATTAAGTTTTCTGTTATTATTATCTATTATTACCATATCGTAAAAAAATACAACATAATTTGCTTATAGGTATAGTGTATGTTGACAAACGTGATCTGTTCCGCTTCTGGAAAGAAGCTGGAGTAACGCCGAAAGCAAAGAGCACTGTGGTTGTATCTAAAGTAATGGAATTTTATAATAATGATGCTGATCTCATGCCTGAGATCCAGTCATAAGTGTCACAAGTTGTAGAAATACTGTGTAATCAGTTTAAGCGACTTTGGGACAAACAACACCGAAAGATGACTATTTTTTTGAACGGTCGTTCAAATTTTTTGATCCACCGTTCCAATTGCCTGAATCTATTTTGAATAAACTTCCGTCTTCATCGAATGGATCTAAACGTGGTCGAAAGTGAACTTTGCTATGCAGCTCAAATGAAACTTTGTCAGCACAAGAAATTAATGGCGGTAAGCTCCAACTCGGATTAACTTTTAATACCGTCCCTGTTTGTATGATCTGAAAAATGTTTGCTCAGAGTTATGTTGATTAACTTTGATGTCGACATCAAACCAGCCGGAAATTCTTGATCGGGATTTGATCCGAGGATAATACCGGTTGGAGCTTACCACCATAAATGAAGCATTGGTATAGGGTGTCCCAAAATGTCTAAGCACGATTTAAAAAAAAAAAAACGAAAACATAACTTTGTTTACAGCAAATTCGATTTTTATTTCGTATTCATGTTCTCTATGGTATTCTCTTACAGTTAAACGTAGAAATCCGAGATCCGACCAGTCGTAAGCCAAGGAGCGGATTTTTGATCTCACGCTACTTAGGCCGGAATCTTTTTTTTCAAGTTTTTCTTTTGTCACCCCTCCCTTCAAAATTTTGGAATATCACCAAGGGGGAAATAATATAAAACTGTATATTTTATAAGTGTATATTTATTTTTCGCAAATTCATTTGGGTATGGATACTCGCTTTTCTAGATTTTACTATGTTGTTGTTGTTGTTGTATCACCTTATTCTTTTAAAGAATTTTCACATAAATTGTACGGCATGACAGGTCCTTGAAATGGGATCAGCCGGTTTCAGTTGTTGAAAACGGATTTTATCGAACATCATTCCTAATCTTGTTTGGCAACTCACTAGGTAAGCCACCTTCAATCTGATCGATCCCTCTTGTTCGTTGCGCACATCTTCGTCTTGTCCCAGTCGGATCACTACAAAGAACCATTTTCAGTGGGTCGTTATCCGACATTATTACGATGTTCCCAGCCCACCATAGTCGTCAGATTTTTGCATTCGATCTAGATTTCTTAACTAACAAACCTTCTGCAATGATACTTAATGATTCACTTATTTTCTACAGTGATTCAACAATTTCCGAGCTAAATCCAATCTTTTCAAAATTGGTTTAAAATTTTTAGAAGTGAGACCAAATCAGAAATGATTCAGGAAATTCCTAACTGAGGTGACACTTTTCAAAGCAGATTCAAAACTGAGTCTGAACTTTTTTTGTAGTGAATTCAAACTTTCGAATAAGTCATCAATATTTTTCTAACTGAGTCGAAACTTTTCTGTTATGTTATTCAATCCTTTTTAAAGTTGTCAAAACCTTTCTGAAGTGATTCAACATATTCCAAATCCAATCTTTATAGAATTGGTTTGGCATTTTCTGAAGTGAGGCAACATTAGCTGATTAATCCTTTTCCTAAATGAATCCAAGGTTTCCTGCATTGATTCAACTTTTTCCGAACTGAAACCAAACTAGTCAGAACGGGTTTGATATTTTCCTAAGTTAGCTCCAGATTTTTGTTAACTGCTTTGGCATTTGGCAAGGGCACAATCTTGCTTAGTGAAAGTGTAGAAAGTTTTCCGAAGTGAACCGACAATTTTTTGAGCTTAAATTTTCCAAATGGTGTCCAACCTTTTCTGAAGTGGTTCAAAACCCTCCTTAGGGAGTCCAAACAACTTTTCTGTTGAGTGATTGAATTATATTGAATGTTAGTCTGAGCTTTCTTGAAGTGATTTACCTAACTTTTAACGTAGATTCCGCTCCCTTAAATCCCTTCCTCGTTCTTGTGAGATTCACATCCTTTGTAAATTAGGCTGAGATTTTAAAGAATGGACCTTCGTGTGTTCATACCTGATGGTAGATTTTTTTTTTAAGCAAGCACAATTGTTGAGAAAACTGGGTTTACATCCACCAAAGTACGTTATTTGGGATTCTTGATCAACCAAGTTGGATTTTGGCTCCGTCCTTTGAAAAACAGGTTTGGATGTTATGGAATAGACCTTTGTAAGTTCATACGTGATGGTAGATTTGTTTGAAGCCTGGTTGGATTTCGGTTCAATATTTTGAAATTTGTGCTTGGATTTTATAGAATGGAACTTGCTGAATACCGGAAGGACGAACCTGGTTAATATTCACAAAAGAAGGTATTTTCATAGAAAATTTATTTTTCTAGTTGAAGATGCTAATTTCAAATAACAGACTGTAGTGGTAATTTTTATACGATAGATGGAGTAGATGAAAGCATAGAGTTGATAGTTCCGTTAGAGTACGGCAGTGTGAAGATTGCATATAGATATTAGAATAGCGAGCTAGGACAACTTTTAAGGAAGGTACAAATCGGTTTTTTTATCTCTCTTTACCAAACTCCCCCTTTGGAGAGGGATGGTGAGGGGTGTTTTTAGAAAATTGGGTTTGAACTCTCAAAAGTACGTATTTTTATAGAAATTTGGGTTTCTTGTTCAGCCAAGTTGAATTTCGGCTCCTTCCTTTGAAAAATAGGAGTGGATTTTACCAAATTGCTAAATCCATCCGTATTTTCATATCTTTGAAAAATAGGCTTGTATTTTTTAGAGTGGACCTTGCTGAATCCATACGTGAAGGTTGAAACGGGTTTGTAATTCGAAAAGGTTTTTTTTTGGTTTTTCTTTTCTGCTAACTTGGATTTTGATACTGTTCTTTGAAAGTTATGCTTAGATTTTATAGAATTGACCTTGCTGAATTCATAAGTGATGATTTTTAAGCACACCCAAAGCCAGGTTTAAATTGACAAAACTACGTATTTTTGTTAAAATTTGGCTTTTATGTTCAGCCAAGATGGATTTTGGCTCCTTTCTTTGAATATTACGCTTGGATTTTGTTGAATAGACGAAGATCTTTTGAAGCACGAACAATTGTTGAGAAAACTAAGTTATATTTGGATAGGGAGGAAGGAGGAAGTATCGAAAACAGAACGTTTTTTTTCATAAGAACTGTTACGTTTGTGGTATTCCGCTTGATGGTTTATCCGGAATTTATCAATACCCAAAAATCAATTGCTTTGATCCTATTCATCTACATTATTACCAATGTTTTTCCTTGAAAGGATACAAAAACTTATGCGCGAAATGTCTTGTTGATAACTCGAGTGTTACACATAATAAAGTCAACATTTGTGGCATTAGTGTCAAAAATCCCGGTTTCAAAGAAGTATAAGGCTAAAGCGGAGGCTAAGAAAAAATGTTAGCGTTTGAAATATACGATTTAGATAGAATGTAAAACGAATTTTAAATGTTTTATTTATTTTTGTTTATTTTTTATCCACCTCCACGCCCCCTCGACCGGTGCGAGCATCGAGTGACAAAAGAAAAACTTGTGATTTGTTCCGGCCTTATTAGCTTCAGCACAGATGCCTTTCCAACAATGTGTAACCAGTTGGTTACAATCCGTGGATTTTCGTTTGTATGAGTTGTTGTTGTTTGGAAAATTCACGTATTTTAATTTAAAAGACAGAAGGCAACACACAGCAGCGAGAGGGTTAGTACCGCTGCAAAAACACTCGAACGATACTAAAGGGAGGACAATCGTAGTCTTAAGCTAAAAATGGAGAATGATCGGCAAAAGGCATGCGAGTGGCCATGTTCTAAAAGAAATAACCTTCTAATTGGCAGAAGTAATCAGGCGTCCGTGTAGACCGGTATCGTGAAGTGTAGTGCATATATAATACAACCCCCCCCCCCTTGTGGGGTTTGGGCTGGAAAGCCTACCTCCGTTCAGGTAATTGATTTTTAATATCCTGACGGAAATTTCCCTGACAGAATTTGATAATTCTCAGGACCTCTTGTGCTCTTGTGCTCTTGTGTTCTTGTGCTTTTGTACAACATGTACACCTCGTACCGTAAGCAAAACGGTTTTACACGGCTCGGCTCGGAAGTCAAGATGGCTTCCGAGCCTAATAGTAAATGATCCTCGATCGTCCGTCAGGGACGATTCCCTCAGGCCGGTGGCCTTAATTGCCAAGGAGGGTCCCGTCTCGGCTCGACCAAGGTGGCCATGCCACGGTCAGCCGATTTTGTCAACGACGGAAGACGCCTGCCAGCCAAACGAGCCAGCAACGCCTGCTGAGCCGTATGTGGCTGATGAACGCCACCAGATCCGCCATTCTCCCAAAGCGGCAACAACACTGTCTGCAGCCCGCGCCGCAAGTTTCCGGCCACACGGTAGTGCAGGAGCAGCCGTGTGGGCCAACGCCAGCGTCGCGACGCCGAAGAAGAATCTGCTGCAACAGTGAGTACCGTAACATTTTAAACCGCATACACGCCACATATATGTGAAAACCCACACCCACACGCCACA